ACCAGGAGTATGAAGCTCTAGAGCGACCTTAGCGCTGCCCCCACCAAGCAGCATATCCTAAAGGAGGAGTATGAGAGTCTGGTTTCCAGGCACCAGACTCTGCTCATGGAGAAGGACAAAGAGTCCCATAGTGACATCAATGCCCTCCTGGCAGCTCAATGCAGCCACTCTAACCGGATGGCCAAGGAGACGAAAGTGATGGTCAGGAAGCTTTTGCACATGAATACCCAGCTGCGCAACAGCCTCCACACTGAGACATCAACGTGTCTCACCCTGAGCTATCAAATCAAGGCCTTTATGGAGACACTCCAAGTGCAGCATCAGAGTACTGGGCACCAGAGTATATTGCCAAAGCACAGAAAGCTCCGCTCTGATCACCGCTCTCTCATAGACAAACACCAGAAGCTGTTATCGGACCACCACACCGTGAAGTTAAAGCTCCAGGAGCTCCATTGTGTCCTGCAGCTGGAGCCCAAGGAGCACTGCACTGTGGCCGCCGCAGCCACTGAAGACTCCGTAGTGACTTGGATAGTGGGGATGGCAATGCGCGCCCTGTTGAGGAACCTCAAGGAGAAGAGGGCATTAGAGAGAAGTCAGCAGATTGACACCTCCAGATCTGATTATCCCTCCCACTCCCAGCATACAGAGGCATAACTGTGTAGTTTATATGCATGTCTACAGCTTCTAAATGTCTGATTTTGAGGTGAAGAATCTACTTTATTAATTAAAGGAGAGTATAATTGCACTGTCCTTTTGTTTGTGTGGGGTTTTTTTTTTCTATTGAGAGATAGAATTGAAGAAAATAAGGACAATGTTGCATTAACATGAATATCATTTATTTTTAAGTTCACAGTGCATACAGTTGTACCATTCCGTCGATAGCACATTAGATTGACCTATACGTTATTTAAGACAACAGTTTTTCTCGGCATTGAGAACATGCAAGTAAGTGTGCACGCACTAGACTTCAGTAGGTTGCATACAGCATATTCAAATAATTACAGTACCATGTCTAGGGACCAGTGGAAAAAGTGAATGAATGAACATGGACTGTGTCAACAGTCTCAGTATTGTCACTGCAGTGAATGAAAGGTTAAAAAGACAAGTGCTATGCCTCTGTTAGTTCCTGACAATCAGTGGTTTTGATCTTTTATATCACATGAGTTATTAGGAAAAAGGGAAATGCAATCGTAGCATTTAGAAAAGAGAATAGAAGCGGTTAGCTTTCATCCTATTTTCTTCTGCATCTGTCAGTAAGCTGTGAGACAGTAAACAGACATTCAGTCATACAAATACCAGCTTTTCTGTACACATACTCAGCCTCAAAGGGTTCCTAGCTGACTATTGCAAGTGGTAGTAAGACATCGCTCAAGTAAAACATCACAATCCATCGCAGTTAATACAGTAGTCATGTAGTACATGAGAAATACATTCAGTTTGAAACGAAAAGAGCTAATAATAAGGTATTTCAACACCAAGTTGGCTAAACAAAGTGTGGAGATTGGACAATAGTACCGTACCTGACGCTATCTTTTTTCTTTTGAGCTGATTAACTTAAAACACAAATTAAATTAGCAGAACATGGCCAATACACACAGATATTTTGAACCAGGGGAATAGAATACAGTGATGTACTACTGTACATGCACAACACAAACTGAAAAAAGGAAGTTAAATTCATATGTATGCAGTTTCTGCCACCAATCTCATGAATTGAAATGATGTAAAATGCTACGCGAGTGGCTGGATGGCAAATGGTTTGAGTTAACACATTTTTAAATTCTACAAAAATTCCTCTTTTCCCCAAAAAAAGTATATAACAACATTCAAATCTTAGGTGTTTGTTCTATCAATCATTTACAATATATTATTATACCAGTTATATATTCTTCTTGTAAAATATACTTAAAACACAAAAAATACATGAGAAAATAATGAAAATAATATTTGATCTAAAAGTAATCTTAAAATATAACTACATACAACAAAGCATAACAAGATCCTTCTCCATAGTGAGTTCAGTCTGAAAGATCATTGAAATATCAGCACAGAGAGGAAAAAATAACACATACAGTTAAGCTTTATTACAAAAATGTAAAAACAGAAATAATCAAACAGAAATTAAGTCTATTCTAGTGGATCTAGGTTGAACAACGTCTCATAGGTGAACGAACTGACCAACATACATTTAAAGCTGTAATCAACCATGTCCGTTTGCGATATTACAACAACAAATAAGTTACTGCAAACAGCAAACACATTTTTTCCCCCTCGGACATCATTGCACGTGCGATAGACGAGCACAATATGTACTGCAATAATTTTTTTACCATGCTGCGCGACACTCCTCAGCTCAGAAACCAGTGGCGCTGTTTCCCCCTAATTCGGATTCCATCTTTAAGGACATGGTTTATTCTCAGTGCCTCCCCACTCTGACTGGACCAGTGGTTCTCTATGTCTCTTTTGCATATACAGACTATATCAATTAAAATGTTGAGCGGACGACTCTTTAAGAGACATTAGCCACCCGATTTCTCCCTAAATACCTTGTGTTGACCATACTAAGCGGTACTCATAAAGGCCAAATTACAGAGGATCTATGGATCCACAAATATGATTATCAATGACCTGATCTTTATAGTGGTAACCTCAAATTCTATATAGACAGCGTTCCATCTTCAAAACTGCCCAAATAAATAGCAAAATAGAAGGGGTGAACATAAATTCTACATGGGTCCTTTCAAATCCAAATTAATAGCTGAAGTGAGGGCTTCTCAGAACCACGGAGAACGCTTTACGATCGTTACCACAGCCCAACGCTCAGGAGGGGGCGAGGGCTACCGTTAAACCGTCACACTCAATGGCATGCAACATAAATCACTAGAGTAAACAGGCTAGACTCATCATCAACATAACATAACCACAAACAAGCACTGGAAAATACTTTATTCTGTCTGTGTGTCCTACAGTGGTACAATAGTGAGCGCATCTCTGGACATTCGGCCACCATCTCTGGACATTCGGCCACCATCTCTGGACATTACCCAAAGGGCTGCTTGCATTCTCTCCATGGGAGATTCTTATCAAATCACTTCGGACGTCCGTCCATACTCTCTGAGGAGAGCCACATTGCTTCGTTACTCTTCTACAATCATCGCAGGCCTTCCAGTCAAACACAGTGTGGTAGCATCACCTCAGAGTATGGGACAAAGCATTTCATTTGGTGTGTGCACATAGCAGAGATTTCAAGTTGTGAAATCACAGTCCTCCTAAAGCACTCACAGTGTTTTCCAATGACTTACCCCCATACCAGTGGGCCGTCAGTGTTTTCTGTTAATTAGCGGTTACATTTACAGCTAATGTAAGCTCTAGTGTTATTGTGTTTCCATCAGGAGTGTGACGCTAAAGACTTGTGGCGAGCAGAATCAACAACCTCTGCATCATTCAAGACTGTTTCTTTGTGAGAAGGTGTTAAAGTTTACAGTTAGCCACTGTTATGTAAACGCAGGCTGAAAACTACCCAGGGCCTTGCCTTGGCTGCAAGTTAGAGCAGGTCCGCCGGAACCATGGCCCATTGAGACACGGGTGCCGGCCCGCGTAGATGGAAACAGAAAAGTCTGAGCCTTTTGGGTAAAACACTTGGGTAAATCCTCAGAGAGCGGAAGAGAGTATGTGAGGGTAGGAGGATGGACAGAGATTTGATTTGATTTGATTGTGTGAGATGGTGAGGATGGAAGGGTGAATGAAGGAGAGAGATGGACAGGACGCGAGAGAGGGAGAGAGATGAAGAGAGAGAGACAGACAGACAAAGAGAAGGTGAGATGGGTGCCATGAATGGGCTTGTCTATTCATTCATATCAGCGGTATTTACGCAACTCCTTTTTCTCCTAACAGACGGGAGTATCCTGAGAAACAACCAAACACTTGAGAAAAATACATCTCTAAATAGATAAACCTCTGGAATCAAACTAAATAGAGCATCTCTCTGAGTGCAACATATATTAAACTATCTTTAATATCTCTAAGCGCAGTGAGAAAGCTGGCTGTTTTCAACATTCATGTGATAGTGGATCTAAGCAGATCAACTGCTTCCAGAGTAACAGTTACATACAGTTTATACATTTTAAGACTGAACAGTACCAAAAGCAAAGCACACCTCCATTTAAGGCAGGGATGGGCAACTTTGATAGGGGTGGGGGCCAAAAAAAACTGTACTCATTATGAGGGGCTGAAGTGGCTAGTGGGTCCATACCCCCCCACCAATTTGAAGTTTTAAAGTTCATTTCCTGCAATTCTACACATTTTGCCATGGGCAGAGAGAAGATTTTGCAATTTTATAACTCATTTCATGCAATTCTACTCATTTTGCCATGGGGCAGAGAGAACAATTAGAAGTTTTACAGCTAATTTCCTGAAATTCTACACATTTTGCCATAGGGTGGAGGCAAATGTTAACAGTTTTTAATATGATAACTGATGATCAATGGGCCCGACCCCGGTCGGTAATTCAACCATGCTTACTCCAAGTTTAGGTAGCTGGCTGCTAGACTAACTTACCAATCTAAAACATTTTAGCTGACATGGGCTAATTGAGTGACTGCTGATGCACAATCAAATTTCAAAATTGCATCTTGTGCATTCTATTATTCTAACTCTCAACAGTAAGTTGAGACCCTGACTGAGTTCCTAAAAAAGTGTTCTATTTTTTGTGAAATTGGTCCTCGGGCCTACAAAAGGTGGCCCACGGGCCGCCAGTTGCCAATCCCTGGTTTAAGGCATTGTGTTATGAAACTGTACAGTGGAAGAGTTACCAAGGTCATGGGGGTTTACTTTGTCTTTACAATACTTTCAGATCGAAGGAAAACTGAATTTGTTCTCTGTTAAAACACACTGATCTTTTAGTACAACATTTCCACTCAGTGGTTAAGGTTAGGATTTGGGGAGGGCAGTCTGATTCTTAAGGGCAACTTCTACCTCAAGCACCCTTTCCCCTGTCCGTCTCAGGACTTGTCAGTGGCTTTGCTGTGGCTGTGGTTGTCGGCATAGGTATTATTATGTGTGTTGGTGTTGCACTGGACCTGGGACAGCTGTAGGTTGGTCTGGAAGGCTGAGCTGAGGTGACACATGGACTCTATCTCCTCTAGAAGGCCTTTCTCCTGGACCTCTGCCCCAGAGACACTGCCCTGTTCCTTCCCCAACCCCAGCCCTAGGCCCTGGCCCTCTCCCTGTCCCCCCTCCTCTGGCTTCTCTCTCTCCCAGGGGACCAGCACAGAGGGCTGCCCGGACTTCACCCCCTGCCTCTCTTTGTCCTGACTGCCCTGCCCCTGGAGGGCCTGGTCCTGGTACTGCCTCACCGTCTCCTTGGACAGCACATTCCGCCGCAGGATGCTGGACGTGGTCTGGGGTTTGGACTCAGACTCAGTCTGGGGGTCTGTGGAGGCTCTAACGCGGGTCAGCGGTGGGGTGTGTGGAGGGGTGTGTGTTGCCGGTGGAGGATTGTGTGTGGAGGCATGGGTTGGTGCAGGACAGCAGCTGGAAGAAGGGTGGTGGTCTCCCAGGTGTGGTGATGGAGGTGTGGGGAGCGAAGGCTCCTCTGGTTGGGGCTGAGAGAGACAGATCGGGGGCTTGGCATGAAGGCCCTGGAGCTTGGGCTGGGTCTTGGTATGAGGGGCCTGGATCTTGGGCAGGAGATTGGGGACCTGGTTGTCCTTGGCTGGGGCTGCAGCTGTGGCTGGTGGAGAGGCTGTCGAGGGGTTTTGCTTTGGCCTCTTGAGACTGCTCTTGCTAGGCTGTCTACGAGGGGAGGGGGGCAGGTGCTTCCCGTGGAGGGCACTGTCGTCCTGCCAGCTTCCTCCCTGTTCCCCTCCCCCACCTACTCCCCCCACCCTGCTGCCACTGGTACACAGCTGGGGAAGATTACTCTCACTGGGGGGGTTGGACTTGTTCTAGAATACAGACACATATACACACACACAGTGGTTTAGACATTTTTTATGTTTTCTTTAACCAGTGCCTCAGTCAATATTGTCCATATGCAAAGATATTGTCCATGACGTTCAGACTCTATATCCTGTATGTATCTGGGGTTATGTGAGTGTGGTTTAGATGTTACAGATGTTTATCTTACCGGAGTCTTATAGTTGATGTCGTCCATAGATCTGAAGAAGTCCAGGCTCTTGGCAGCGCTGAGTTTGCCGTGCTCTGTGCTGGTGGTGCTCAGAGAGTCAAGGATCTCCTCTAATAGGTTCATCTGTCCCGTGTGGGAGGAGTCTGTGTCCAGCTCCAGCGAATAGGAGTCGTCACTGTCCTCAGTGTAGGACGGCATCTCCCCACTGTCCTCAGACGAGATCCTCAAGTCGAGCAAATTAAATTAGCAAAATAAATTCAGCAAATCAACGAACACAAAATAAAATAACAAAAAATTCAGTAAATAAATGTATAAATAAGCCAGCAAATAAACTCAGCAAATCAATTATAATTTCATGAATAATAATCTGTCCAAGAGGCTATAATCACAATGCAATAAATCTACTGTGGGGTCCTTACTGTAGGACTAAACCACTGGAGGGCAGCATTGATATGAGTATGAAGAGGAGGAAGAGGAAGAGAGGGAACCTGTTAGAAGAACTGTCTATACCATAATAACTAGTGGAGGACAGGACAGGGAGAGGATTTTTCCAAATAACTGAACAAACAACTTTCATGAAAGAGGAAACTACCACGGAACCAACTTAAATAATTTTATTGCATTGTTATTGTATTGTGATGTTTGCTCTTGGCCAGGGCTCCCTAGTAAAATTGATAGCTGTCTCAATGAGACTCACCTGAAAGGATAGATAAATAAATGTCACAGATCATACATATTCAAACAATACTGGCAGATTATTGGTATCATCATATATTATCAGACTCTTACTTGCTGGCAGTGTCAAGTTCATCGTCATCGATGGCAAAGTCAGGACATCCCATGGGAGACTTGGCATAATAATGCTGAAACACACAGAGACAATGAGATCTACAGGTTCCTCAAGGCAAATGACCATCACATCTGACCATGACAACATAATCACTCTTTATGATAGTGGTGTGCTGTGTTTGTGTTGGCAACATGGTAGAGTGTCATTCCCACCCCAGTCCAGTCCAGTGCCTGGTACCTCAAGTCCAGTGTGTATATTAAGCCACCTGTGTAACACATTTAACTGTCTGGGGACTTTAAGAATGAACCTTTAAGGCACACTGCCTCCCCCTCCTCCCTCTCTCCTCCCCCAAAAGAGCTCAGCTCAGCCCAAGGCCTGCTATTAAATATACAGACGTGTAGTCTTTTTACTTTAACTCTCTCTCTGCCCATCTAATTCACAACTTCGTATCGCGCACACACTGTATAACGCTCTCTCTTTCTCTCTCCCACTATCTCTCTCATACACTCTAGTCTCTACCGCCCTCTCTGACTCTCACTTTCTCTCTTTCTTTCCTGTACCCAGGCAGCTTCTAAAGTATACTATCAAAGCCTGTCACTTTCACATCCCCTAGAGGGCAACCATGACCCATCACCAAGAGAGAGAACGAGAGAGAGAGAGAGAGAGAGAGAGGACAGGTCGGATGTAAATGATTGAGGGAGAGAAAGAGGAAAAGGGAGACCAATAACCCCTGGAAACTGAGAGGAGAGGGGGGAAACATTAGGGCATTGCAACAACCCGGTCTTGATTAGCTCACACAAGTGCCAGCCAGACAGGCGGAATGTAACGTGTCGCTGGGCGCTGCTCATTTAGGGTACACACACACACCTTACAAAAACGCGCGCGCACACACACACACACACACACAGAAAGGGTTAACCGCCGCCTTCGCCATAAAAGCTAACGGAGGAGAAATGTGTGCAGCGGCCACTTAGTCCTCTTAGCCATTGGGCTAAACAGGAACACATGTGGTGTGGCGCTGATTGCCCGGCTCAGGCTGCTCTCTGTCTCTGGTAGCTAGGAGCTATAATAATAAAGACCATTACAGAGTGGCTCAGGCCTCCCATCCCCCCAAAAAACACTTTAATGGATTCCTGTGTCAGGGCCGTAAATCAGCACTGTGATGCCATGTACACACGCGCACGGGCGTTCATACACACACATATCAAATCATTCACACAGACGTGCACACACACGGCTGTAAATCTGGGCCGAGGCCGGCATGACAGTTAGGGAGATTGGAGATGCACCTGCGAGAGGGTGGGTGCTTGGGCGCGCACACACACACAGGTCATGGTCCTTGCTGCTATTTAGCCTGTTCATTTGTGCACTTATGCATGTTTAGGGAAGCAGGGCCTCTCGGTGTGTCTAGGTGTTTATTAAAACAAGGTGAACCCTCAAACACAACAAACCATACCCAGGGCATAGAGCTCAGCCCATATCATAACCACACCCAGCTCAGCCTGCCCACCCCCTTTCCTATGGTCATAATTATATCCATGCTAGACAACCTACACCTACATACTGTTGGAAGAAAACAAAAAGACATGCATACACACTTTCCATTTATGAAACACATACTGATTGAACATGGAAGTCATCCAGAGTTGTAATTATTACAGTGGCAGTAGCATGTCTTTTGGTGAAACATTAAAGCCAAGGTAACCCAGAGACAACCATGCTAGAGGAAGTCTGGGTGAAACAACATCCCCTTCACTTCTCATGACAGACTGATATAAAACTGAGAGGTGAAAATGGAAAAGTGATTCTCTCCCTCTCTTTCTCGTTCTCTGTCTCCATCTCTTCCCCCTCTCTCATTCCCTCAGCCTCCATCTCTGCCTCTCATTCTCTCGGTCTTCATCTCTCTCATGACAGATGACTGTTATTTTTCTCTTACAGTGAGTCTGCTGCAGTGAACGAGAAGAGGAGAAAGAAGGAGAGAGAGAGGGAGAGTGCCACGCCAGGAAAAGATGCAGCAATTGAAGTCTAATAATGAAAATGAAAAGGTCCAGGCTATTTCACGGAATCTGGGCAAAACCACCAGTTTGGAGGACGGGGGAAAAAAGCCTCTAATTTGTTTAAAAGCACACTAACTCACTAAACACACTGTTATGTGGTTCAATAGGTACTCTGCACGGTAACCTCTGCTGGCATGACAATGGACCTTCTTACTGTCTGTGAACGTTTGTTAGAATAACTTTTTGATCACTAATGTGATATACACATGTTGAGTTATTTCCTACAGTGGCCACATGTTTTGTCATTGTCAATACCGCTGCAGCTACACATATTTTGTGGCAACAAATGATTATTTACAGTAAGATGACAGCTATTTTTTACTATGAATAATTTACTGAGGCAATTCTTGTTAAATAAAACCTGCATATTCCAGCCAGTCATGCTGTAAGTTAGGAGAGTTTCAATATGGCCAATATTGCCAAGTCATCTTCTAAGCTAACCGTCAAGCTTTCGCTTTCCAACTGGAATGAGCCAAGATATGAAATCTATTTAAAGGAGCCCTCATGGCAGTGGCTCTATTAATCCTTCATATGCCATACAATAACTCTATATTTTACTCCCCTTGTTATGAGGGGAAAATAGTAATCACTGTCCATTTTAGTAGAAATATATGAAGAAATAAACTTTTTTTCCTCTTTCAGTCTCTCGTCTGCATGACCAGTTATGTGAAGCGAGCATACCAACGACAGAGCGCTCGATACATTAAGTACCAGCTTTACATTATACATTTCATATGGTGTTTCTGAGTGGCCACTGATCTCACAGCTTGGCAGGGTATGTGAGATATGCCAAACAAACCTCACGGAGAGGGGGGGGGAGGGGGGAAATGAAAAGAGAGAGAGAGAAAGAGGAGGGATAGAGAGAGAGGGAGATAGAGAGAGGGGAGAGGGAGATAGAGAGGGGGGAGAGACACACAGAGACAGGGGGAGAGAGCGAAAGAGAGGGAGCCAGAAGCATGGCCAAGTCTGTCTTTCTGTTAGACATAAAACTACAGACGGTGTTTGAGGCAGGATCCACTGCCTGCCTGCCTGTCCAACTGGCTGCCTCTGAAAGCACACACTTTTAACAAACCAGCTAAATGAAAAGGATTCTGCCCATTTTGCAAAAATAAAAAAGCAGTCCTATAAAATCACCAAGCGTGTCTGTGGACATATTCAGTAATTTAAAGCTACCAGGAGGTGGCAGTCTAGCTTCAGCCAAGAATCTCAGGCCAGACTACAAATAACCACCTAAACACACACAGCCTACACACACACCCACACACAACCTGACAAGCTCCAATCTCCACATCATCTCCATGCAGATGTGTGCAGTTTCTCCCCATTAGAACGGAAGCACAAAAACAAACCGTCCACACTAGCCAACCCCCCCCACACACTCTCTCTCTCTCCCTCTCCCCACCCCCCCCATGCTAGCATTTCTTCAGTCTATGGTAGAGTAGTGTCAGCGTCACACTGCTGAGCCCTGCCACAAGCCTGCTGTCACTATGCATACCACCGTCTCGCTCTCACACAGCTAACGTACTGCTGCATTCGCTAAAACACACACACACACACACACACACACGAGGTGAGCAATCACTCCCTAAACATAGAGAAGCAAGACAATAGGTTTGTGTTAGTTAGTATTTCACACAAAGAGAACATTCTATGTGTGTGCAAATCAAAGAATACTTCAAACGTACTTTAATGGACATGCTCTTTTAGTGACACTTGAATGAGTTGAACCAAAAATGTTAATTTCATAATTACACTGCTCTAATTTAAAATATCTAATATTAGAAGAAACTCCAAAGATGAACCTGATCATTAATTCATTTGATTTCAAGGACAGATACAGAGATTGCTGTTAAATACTGCATGGTGATAAAAGGTATGAGAAGTTCAGATGTCTGTATCACTCAGAGAGCTGAGCGTGTGTTTGTGTGTCTGTGTGTACGTGAGTGAGGTGTGTGTGAGAGGTTTGTGTTTGTGTGTGTGAGGGCAAAGTGTGTATGAATTATACACTTGATAAATGGTCTGTAATATCTCTTTAATATGCAGAGATGGAGAGGAGCAGAGAGGTAGCCCTGGCCTACATTGGGCCTGGTACAGGGGATACGGTAGAGATCAAATCAAATCAAATTGTGTTTGTCACATGCGCCGAATACAACAGGTGTAGACCTTTTTTTTTCTTTTTTTTTAACCTTTATTTAACCAGCTCCCTGAAAGCGGCAACTCTAGCCTTTAGCTCAGTGCAGATGTTGCCTGTAATCCATGGCTTCTGGTTGGGATATGTACGTACGGTCACTGTGGGGACGACGTTGTCGATGCACTTATTGATGAAGCCGGTGACTGAGGTGGTATACTCCTCAATGCCATTGGATGAATCCCGGAACATAGTCCAGTCTGTGCTAGCAAAACAGTCCTGTAGCGTAGCAGCCGTGTCACTGGTACTTTACATTTACATTTACATTTTAGTCATTTAGCAGACGCTCTTAACCAGAGCGACTTACAGGAGCAATTAGGGTTAAGTGCCTTGCTCAAGGGCACATTAACGTCATTTAGCAGACGCTCTTAGCCAGAGCGACTCACAAATTGGTGCGTTCACCCTATAGCCAGTGGGATAACCACTTTACAAAGTGGTTATGGATTTGCAGAACAAAGTACTTCCTGCTTTAGTCTTTGGTTGTAAGCAGGAATCAGGAGGATAGAATTATGGTCACATTTTCCAAGGGAGAGGGAGAGCTTTGTACGTGTCTCTGTGTGTGGAGTAAAGGTGGTGTAGAGTTTTGTTTTCTCTGGTTGCACATGTGACATGCTGGTAGAAATGAGGTAAAACTGATTTAAGTTTGCCTGCATTAACGTCCCCGGCCACTAGGAGCGCCGCCTCTGGATGAGCATTTTCTTTTTTGCTTATGGCCTTATACAGCTCGTTGAGTGCGGTCTTAGTGCCAGCATCGGTTTGTGGTGGTAAATAGACGGCTATGAAAAATATAGATGAAAACTCTCTTGGTAGATAGTGTGGTCTACAGTTTATCATGAGGTACTCTACCTCAGGCGAGCAATACCTCGAGACAACCTTAATATTAGACATTGCGCACCATCTGTTATTGACAAATAGACACACACCACCACCCCTCTTCTTACCGGACGT